ATAACATAATAAGAATTTAATAATATATTATTTTAAATAATATTTAATTCATTTGTTATTGTTAATATTAAAATACAGTATATATTGACAAATAACTATATTTTTATTGATTTAAGATAATATTTTGTAGAGAGTAAAATAATAATAATAAATAAATAAATTACAATTTTGAAATTATAAAAGTTATTTAACATTTGCTATTAGATATTAATTATTATAAAATAAATGCAAAATTAATAGCTGCTTCATGATGATATTTGAACTAACTTTGAACCCGGATTTATTAGCTCGATAAGTTCATATTAGATAAACAATATTATTAATTAAATTGATTACAAATATCCATAGATTAATTATAAAAACATTTTATCTGTTTGTAGTTTGTTTTAAAATACTGAAAATTATGTACTGTACAGTACATATGTTTTTGAAAATTTATTTTATAATCAATACGAGGTCATTTATATCGTATTTATTGACTAACAATATTGTATTTTAGTTAGTTATTATGTATTAAACATCCTGATTATTATTATCATTAATATTTAGCACACTATTTAATTAATAATGCTTTGCAATTACTTAATAGGCTATTTTTTGTAAATTTACTAGCTTAAATATTTTAAAAATCTATACTAAGTTATTTTTATAAAAATGCATATTTAGTTAATTATAACATGATTTATCTAGTATATGATCTATATCATTTCTGGTACATGGCACTTTCCTTGTAAATGTTTACCAGTACAAACCATATAAGTACAATCCGTACCCAAATTTGGAATTGTTGCTACACTTTTCACCTAGCAATGATATAATTTATTTATGATATTAATTATACATTAGCGTACCGGTATATAATCCGGTATAATTAAATAAAATATTTTAATGTTAAAACTTGCTTGACTAAACATAATAACAGGTGTTTACCCAATATAAAAAATAATAAATTTATATTAAAAATAACAATAGCCTGTTCATAGTAATTCATTGTCAATATGTTCTCGCTCATATTGAAAAGTGTTTTGCTGTTTGCAATATTGAATGAAATCTGTTGTCAGAGTCAGTGTCAGAAAAATAGATTAAATGATGTTAAATCAGGTAAAACAAAAGTACGTGGATCCAATTTGGGCAGTTGGCTAGTCATGGAGTCATGGATGGCACCCCAACCCTGGGATGAAAATGACTGTAACAAAGGCACCCAAGGAGGCAGCTACCTCCTTGAAAAGTGTCTGGGTAACATAGCACCTGCTGTTTTACAAAAACATTGGTCAACTTTTATCACTGAAAATGACTTTGCTGAGATGTCCAAACATGGTGTCAATGTTGTACGCGTACCTATTGGTTGGTGGCAGGTATGATTTAACCTAGTAATTCTTGATAATACTGTATAAATATTATTTTATAATTTTATAGATTTATTTATACCTTAATGTAAGTTATTATAAAACAAAAAGTAAACTTATGCTATACAGGCTTACAGTATATTTTATCATCTATCATTATATTTATCATTAAATATATCAAAATTAAAAACCTTAATATTTTTAACATGTCAGATTATTAGAAAATTTTGAATAAATTCTACATTATAATTATAATAGTAAATTATACATATCACATTTAGATCTACGACCCGCAAGGTGGTGCGAGTAAAGCCAAACTAAACTACCACATCACACCCACTGATTATCACGTGGGTGGTCTGGCTTACATTGATAAGGCTTTTGAATGGGGTCAAAAGTACGGTATCGGTATCTTACTGGGAATGCACGCCGCACCTGGATCTCAAAATGGCAATGACCATTCATCACCCGCTGAACATCCTGGTCAAGTGAGTATTATCTTAACAAAAGTTAAATGATTTGGGTTATTAAATATTAAATATAATTCTACAGATCAACTGGGACAAATACCCGGCTAATATTGGCCAAACTGTAGAGTCTATGGAATTATACGCTCAAAGATACGCTGAAAAAGAGGCCTTATTTGGTTTCTGTCTGCTCAATGAGCCAGCACATATTGACATCGGAAAGTTGCAAGATTACTATAACCGAGCCTACGCTGCCGTACGTAAACACTCGGCCGACTCACACATAGTGCTAAACCCGTTGATCACCCCTTTCGAGTCGGGCACTGAGTCTCATTGGACAGGCTTTATGAACCCGGACCAGGGTTTCACCAAGGTAGCCATGGACCTGCACTACTATTCATGCTTTGGTGGAGGTGCCGATCAGACTAACCCCGATGGTGCTATTGGTTATATAAACTGGGATAGAAAAAATCAAATTGCCGATTATCATGCTAAAAATCCCAAGCAAATGTTGATTGGTGAATGGTCAGCGTGCAATCATTTTAATAACCCTGGTCGCAATGGTGATTTTACTAAAGCCGAGGTCAATGTCTATAACCAAGCTTCATTGGGCTGGACATTTTGGTCCTGGACTGGTGGACAGTCAGGTAATGTATGGTCCTTGAAAACTGCATTCAACTCCGGTTGGATGGGAGCTCAGTATCCTTGCTAATTTAATAAACATGTAATAATTTTAATTAAATGAAATCTTAAATTATGTCTTGAAAATATGAAAACTTATTATTTACTATAATTATTTAAAAAAGTAATAATAAATGACCAGATTAATAAATTTTTTAGCACTAATAACAATAATTATATACCGGCAGTAAATAAAAATATATTATTTAATTAGAGATATATTTAATTAATATAAGTATGAAATTTAAGTAAATTAATAATATTACCGTAGTTTAGAAAAGTAAAAATAAAATAACTATTTACCTTTTAATATATAATATATTTGATAACTATTTAATGAAAAGCCACAGCACCGGTATTTCTCACTAACCGACAAATATGCTCAATGAATTGTCAGCACCGGTAATATAAATTCACAGGATTTTTTAGTAAGTAGAAAAGAGTTAGTGATTAATTTTTTAAACTAACAAGTTAAACTAAATATTAACTGTAGTACAAACATGCATTGAAACTAGTTTGATAATTGTTCAATCTGATTGTGG